AGTGCTATCCCTCCTTACCTGGGAGGCAGAGCAGAAGGAGCCCCAAGAGCTGAGAAGGGGCCCTCATGGCCATGCTGTGTCCTGACTGGGACTGACTCCTGCACAGGATGTGAGCAGCCTCTTAAGAAGTCCTCAGGGCAGTGGGCTTTGCTGTGGGCACATGCAACTCAGCAGGGCTGTGCAGGCTGGGCACAGCTGCAGGGCTGCTCTTCTCAGTCACTCAGCATAGAACCATCATCCCCCCATGTTCCAGAGCAACACAGATACTCTGCTTCTCTCTGGGGCCCAAGACAACCTGTGTCCAGTACCCCTGAATATAGAGTTATCTTGATCACTTCCAAGTTCCATGCTTGCTTTCTCCCATCTATGACAGGGGCTGTCAATGATGGCATAATCCCCGACACTGCAGGACAGTTTACCAGCTACTTTCCATTGCACTTACAGAAATTGCTGATACAGATAAGCTTTCTCTTTGATCTTATTCTCCAATACTCATGATTTAAATTTGAGAGGCAATAAGAAAAAAATGGGGAGTCACACTTTATAATGGAGGGTGTCATTTGCTTTTATTCAATCTCATGACTACAGCTAAGAAAGTTGTCTTCCTCCATTTATGAATTCTTTGCCCAACTACTTCCACCTAATGCCAGGGAGTATCTTCCCTCCCATCGGAGGAGCATGGGCTTCCTCTCTAGCTCATCTCAAGATGATATATGTGCATGACTTGTGTTCCCTGTCTGCTCAGAGCGTTGCTCCTATTCTCTTTCCTCTGGCAACCCAAGTCATTGCCATTAGAAGTATAGATCCTATGTCCACCAAGTGCCACTGATATTCTACTGTGCTCCCTAAACTGCATATTCCACATCTCCAAATGTCAGTCAGCTCCTAAGAGAACTCTGCTCTCAGTGCCTGGTTTAGAACAGTGGGGACCAGGCAGGGTGCAAGGGAAGCATGTGGGCGTGTGAACCCTGCATGGGGACTTGCAGTCTCAGTGGGGTCCTGAGGGTGTCCCCACATGGAGGAGTGGTAGTGTTGTCCAGGTGTGGGTGTCCAAGAGGGGTAAGACAAGGAGGACACTTGGAAGGATAGGAGTCCTCGGCGTAGGAGACCTTCCGGGGAGAGTGGTGTAAAATGTTGAGCCCAACACTGAGCTGGAGAGGGACATGGGCCA